CAGCAAGGCACAACCACGGTAGCACAGAGTTGAGTGCCAGCAGGTAGCCTGGTGGTTGAAGCACTGGACTCTCACCTGACTGACTGCGGTCTGAGTCCTGGACCTGGCAGCTTGTTCTTTTGCTTTTTCTATCTCTGGTGAGCACAAGCTTAAGGTAAGTGAAGACTTGGCACACGGATATAATAGCGCTACTCTGTGTAAGAACAGCAGTAATTTAGGGGCACCATACCATGAGCCAGGAAGCAAACGCCTTCCCTAATTCTGTCCTTTAATCCTCTCGGCATTTGTGTGAAGCAGATGATAGTCTCATCTCCATTTACAAATAGAGAAACTGAGGTCCCTGGAGCTCTGGCAAAGTTCCCGAGGTTGCGCAGCTGAGCAGAATAATCAGGCCTTCGGATTCCAGAACTTGAGCTCTGAACTAGGACTGTTAAAATCTATTATAAGATACAGCCATATTTTTGAAAGTGTTCAATCTTATATCTGGGTTTTTCAATCACCGTTATATATAGTTTTTAAAAATATTCGAAACGGTGTCCAACTACCTGGAGCGTCCCCTGGCAACCTGGGATTCCTGATGTGTGAAGCAGTTCTGCGTGGGCTGCAAGTAAGGAAGTAAGCAAGCAAGCGTCGTTACTCGGCACCACGACCGTGGGTGATCTAAGCCTCCAACTTCTGGCTTATCCCAGGGCAGAAGAAAAGCGATGTGGGCACAAAGGGAGACCGAGAAGCCTGGCTTACCCGGTGCCTCCCACCCCTCCATTGGAGATGCCGCAATCTGTCAGGACTATCATCCCGCCCCGTCCTGCTAATGTTTTAGTCCAGATAATGTTCATTCCTCCCTCCGTCCATCTTTGAAAATCACTTACCCTACCGTGTATAAAATAGGAATGCTGTGTGCTTTAGAAAGATGCACAAAAATGGAAAGAGAATTTACCTTACCCCCTCTGGGCGTCTCAATGAGCATTTTAAAAGATGCTTAATGAAGCATGGGGCTTCCTTAGAGCGGGCTTACATTCAAGCTGCAAGCTTGAGGGTTTTGTTCCCCCCCTCCCCCTGAACAGGAGCAAGAGTGCCTCTCTTCTCTCCGCCCCCCTCCCGCCTCCCAGCCTCCATCCCCAGCTCCAAACAGCTCACATTTATCACCCCCCAAACAGGAGGCAAATATCTCTTGGCTCCCTCCCCCAAATCAGCTTGAAAATAGCGCTCAGAGGGAGAGAAAGAGGCTTTGGGGAGTGTGACCTGAGCAGTCAGCTTAGGCAAAATGTGCACAATAAACTTCTATCTGGACTGAATTGTTCTGTAAAGTGGCAATCACTTCCCAGACAGACAGGCCCAGGAGGACCCGCCATTCTGCATCTTTTAATCACCGTTGCTATGGAGAAAGCCACTATTTCATTACAGAAAGCGCCTTAACGCAATTAACACATAGTTCAGTTGTTCCCCATCCCTTTTGGGTCCAGAGATGGAGGGGGTTATGGGGTATTGCTTTCCCTGCCCTCCCCCACAAGGAGCCAGCAGGCCAAACAGGACAGGGAGGGTTCCCAGGAAGTTAACTCTCAGCAGCACAAGGCTGGGTTGTAGATTAAGGCACCTCAAAAGGAGGAACAGGTTTAAAAGTGGTGAGGACTGAGTGTTTGAAAGCAAAGCCTGTTTTTAAAAAGCTTCTGCTGCTTACTATTTGAATTTGAAAATCTCTACACATTCTTGGTGAAACTGATTTTTCTCCTATTTCTTATTTCAGTGCCCTCCCCCCACCCCAGTAGCCTGGCTGAGGCTACTCAGTGCAGACACGACCAGACCACCTTGATGCTTCCTCGTCCACCCTCTCCAGTTACTATTCTAAACTCCCTTTCATTAATTTATTTGTAAAACAGGAAGATATTAACAACTTTCTATTTAACTGAGCCATCAGAAGAAATAGTCCCCAGGGTGCCTGCCTGGCTAGCACAAAGAAATGCTAATGAAATGATGAGTTTTGATGGTTTTGAAATGAGGATTCCAGTACAAGTTTTCTAAAGATACTGAATTCTGAGCCTTTTACGAGAGCAGGGTTGCATCTTTTCCAGCTTCACAGAGTTAAAGACTCAAACAACAATTCAACTGTCAATGAACAATATTAAAAAAGAAAAGAAAAAACCAATATACTCATGTATCCTCCCCTAAGAAATCCATCTAGAAGAGAAGATCGTTAGAGAAGTTGGCCAACAACAGGGAGAAGTAGCGTCTGTATCCTGTATATAGATGTTTTGCATCATCCCTAATTAGCTAATGTATTTCTTTCCGCCAGTACTCTTGGAGGAATTCTCAAGCTTGTCCCCTGCCGCTCCTGGAGACCACAGAAAAGCAAATGACACTGAATTTTCCCTTCTTAATTAAAATGTTAAACAGGGTTAAGATGCCAAGCTTCATCAGAGATATTTGTTCCCCTGGTGAACTCTGAGCCCTGCTGGGGTTCAGTTCAATGGGAGTTATTTGAGTCAACACATGTTATTAAGTTTCCAAATGTAATCAGCTCAGATATTTTAATGGAAACTTTTCTCCTTTCTTTTTAATAAGCATGGGGTTTGGTTTTTTTTTTTGTTTTTTTTTTTTAAAAAGGCACTTGGGTTAGGTGCCCTGTGTTGCCCTTTCGGAACCAAATCACCATAGCAACAGGCAGCTGGTCTCTACAAAGCCAGGCGGACGGGCACGGCCAGGGGCAGCCGCCAGGAGCCCAGCCCCCAGCTACAGTGTTTGGCCAGGCATAAATATCCTCAATGGGATTAGAATGTTTAAGGGGCTGAAGGCTGTGGGAAAACTTTTGTCTGCCATATTTATCTCTTCTGCTGTTGTGTCTTAACATTTCCACTCAGGGAACAATGGGGTTAAAAGTAAGAGCAAATGTTTTGATGGGTTTATTTTGAATTATGAATTCATGCATCTGCATAATTGCCTGTCAGCACCAACCTGCTCTGACTGGCCTCGGAGGGCAGAGGATGGGTGGGGGTGGGGGGGAGTCAGTGGGTCTCCACACCAGGGAAACACTTCAGTGTGGAGAATTAATTACATGGGTTGAGGGGAGACACAGGGTATCTTAGAGACAGGGTTCAGACTCACAGCCCCACTGCCGGGGTACCTGTGGTGCAAAGAGCAGACCTTTTCTTTGACCACTTGGTTATTATGGAGCAAAGAAAGAAGCGCGAGGCAGATGTTTCTGCCTCCTGTTTGGCAGGGGCTGTGCAAAGTATTCCCCTCTCACAGGTTCCACTGCATCCCCCCGAAATTCACATAGGTTCAAGTCTTAGCCCCAGTACCTTAGAATGTGGCCATCTTTATAGGCAGGGTCTTTAAAGAAGTGATTAAGTTAAACAAGGCAATTAGGATAGATCCTAATCCAGCCCGACTGGTGGCCTTATAAGAAGATGAAATCTGGACACTCAAAGAGACACAAGGGGTGTGCGCATGGATGAAAGACCACATGAGGACGCAGTGAGACGGTGGACACCAGCAAGCCGAAGAGAGAGGCCTAAGAGGAAACCCATTCTGCCAACATGTTGGACTTCTAACCTCCAGAACTGTGAGGAAATTGATTTCTGTTATTTAAGCTGCTCAGTCTATGGCATTTTGTGACAGCAGCCCTAGCAGACCTTATATCTTCACAGACTATTGTCCAGGTCTGCTAGAGATGTTAAAAACCATGTGTTGCAGGGAGCAGGTATGAAAGCCCTGAAGAGACAACCTAGGCCACAACCCAGAATCTCACTTTCCTTTTCTCTCTTTCAAAAGAAGTCATACTTGCAAACCAAAGAGGCAACCATCAAAGCCAAGTTAGTATGCATATCCCTCAACTCTCTTCCAAGTAGCCCACCTTCTATGTCACTCCTGTATTAATAATCCTCTTCCAGGGACCAGAGCAGATGGCTTAATGGTCACATCACTGGACTCCCACATAGTTGACCATGGTTCAAGTCCTGACCCAGTGTCTTAAAACTCACAACGGGGCATGTGTGTGCATGCCCTAAATCTTGAGAGGAGAATGGAGAAGGGATTGCAGCATGGCCATCTTCCCTGGGGAGTGATTTCTTGCTTTCTGTCTCTCTGTCTCTCTGGTGATTGCACGTACCCTATAGCAAAAAAACTCTCTCTTAAAAAAAGAAAAATCCTCTTCCATATTATGTATTATTAATAACTATAGCACATATTAAATTATTTGCCTATTTTTAAAAACTGTGTTGGGGTCAGCAGGTGCTGTGGTGGTTAAGACACTGGATTCTCATATGGCCAACTATGGCTCGAGTCCCAGACCAGGTGACTTGAAAAATCACAACAAATATATAGACATATAAATAAGTAATTTTTAAAAATTCTGTGATTAAATAAGATCAAAATAATGCCTTGATTCTTTTTTTTTTTTTTTTAATTCACAGAGAGTGCATGCGCTCATGAAAAGGAGACGGGAGAGAGAGCACCCAACGGGGAATGGTCAGAAAGCAGTTCTTTTTCCTCTGTTTTTCCATCTCATCAATGTGCCTGATGTTCTTCAAGCCACTGGGCCAGGATTCGAACTGTAGTCAACCATATGGGATTCGGCTCTGAATGCACAACACTTAATTGTGACACTATGGGGCCAGCCTTACCCTGACTCTTGTTATGCATCCCAAGAACCCCAGTGGTGAGAGGCCTCAGGACAACCCATGCAGATCCCACCCTGCGTTCCATTTAGACACTCCTGCTCTGCACAAATGAGCAGGTAAGTCTTCACACTCTGCCACAGATGATGAAAAATATTTGAAGTGAAAGGAGGTAGGCATGCCCCAATTTTAAGCAGACCATATATATCAAACTCAGATTAGAAAACAGAAATATTTAAGGTTAATAATTCACTTTATAGAAATGATTCTTCACTGTGCAAAAGTACATATAAAGGATACATCACATACAGATTCCTTAGGTACATTTTGAATTGAACTCCGTGCAGGAAGATCTGATTTGGAAGTAATTTCTCTGAGAAACCCTTCATGCTTCCCTGGCAGAGGAGATACCATGACCACGAAGATGCTTTTCCCAGGGTGAGGCTTACCCATTGCACTCCGGATGTGCTGAGCCCTGTGATTCCCCCAAATATGGGAAACTTGACTGCATGAATTTGTGGTAGTGGGGGACTGTGTCCGTGCTTTCCCCTGTTTCTAAATTTAAAAAAGAAAAGAAAAAAGAAACCCTTGCATGAAGCAAGGTCTACTATCCAGAGGATAAGTCACTGATGAATAACTGGGAGCTCTTCTTAGACTGGTTATGGTTAGGCATGGGGGTAGTAAAGCCAGCCTGGAGGGCAAGTACTATAGATAGATAGATAGATAGATAGATAGATAGATAGATAGATAGATAGATAGATAGATAGTATGCCCCTCTAAATCTGTATACACAGGGGCATATGTGTACATGTCCACATATGTATACATACATGTGAGTGTATGTATGTGTGTATACCTATGTGCATACACACAATCCCTATATTTTGCAGTTAAAATCTTCATTCAAGATGAAGAGAACTTATTGAGCACATTCTCTGTTTGCTCTTATGGCAGGTGCTTAGAACACAAAGATAACGCATGGCTTCTGCTCGACTCTCAAGGAACAGGCAATCTACTAGGGGAGTGAGGTGTGAAATATTTATAACCAGGTGATCTGGACATGAGAGATCTCACAGCTTCATGGGGGGTATTCACCAGCCACATGTTCCCTGAGTGACATTTCACAGACTTTCACATCTTCCACTTAGGAAGTTCAGCCTCTGGGTGTCACTTCCATCTCCAGCTCTAGGGAGGAAGACAAAGAGAATTCTGAGTCAAGGTGTGGGCATATATATCATTTGTATAGAAATGATAAAAACATTAATTTGGAGTCCAGCAGATGGCGTGGAGGTTAAAGCAGTGGCTGACTGAGGTTCGAGTCCCAGACCCAGCAACTTCAAATTCATGCAAAGTCATGTATGTGAATGCCCAAAATCCCATAAAGAGAATGGAGGAGAAGGGATTATGGCATGGCCACCCCGCTGGGAGAGATTTCTCACTTTCCCGCTCAATGTCTCTCTTCTCTCTGGAGAGTGTACATGCCATATGGAAAAAACTTTAAGAAAATGTAAAGAATTTGATAGACTATATTATAAATTTTCCTTAGCATTGTAATGTAAGTTTATCTTACCTGAAACTGGTCTCAAAGAGAATCTAAACAACCAAATAGAAAACAGGTGAGTTGTATTTTCAGCCCTTACAACCCAAAGCTTTTGCTGGTCTCTTGGTTTTCGAGTTTAGGATCACAATACTCATTCAGTTTCACGGAGAATGTCTTTTTCATTCACCTGCATTCTTCTTTCTACCTCCTCCCGTGTACCTGCCCTTATTCGGAATCCCTCACCTTCCCTCCTGCACGTCAGAGGAACCCCTAAGGACCCCTAGGTGCCGTCCGTCAACCCCTTGCACCTTGGCCTGAACTGTTCTGAAGCATAGTTGCAATTACATCACTCCCCTGATCAAAGCCTTCAGCATCTTCCCTTTGAGCTGTATTTGACATTTATTAGCTGCCATGTATATGCCAAGTAGTGTGCATACATGGTTTACTGAGCAAAGTCCTAACCACTAAACCTGGCATCCAGGGCGCTTGATGGTCAGGCCCACCTGGCACTCAGATGCTTTAGTCAAATTCTGCCCTTGCCATGAGCCTCAGGACATTTTTGCTCTCACCTACCACCTGCCTCTTGTGCTCTTCCCATGCTGGAACGTTTCTGATAAGTAAAAAAGAAAGTCATGAACACACCCATGTAAAAGAACAGAATTATGAAATAAACAGACAAAAGTTTTTTTTTTTTTGAGAGAGATTTTTGCTCTAGGGCATGCACTCACTGGAGAGACAGAGAGAGAGAGAAAGTGGGAAATCACCCCCTAGAGGGAATGGACACACTACAGTCCCTTCTCTTCCATGCTCCTCTTGGAATCTGGGGCACACACGTACATGTACCTAGTATGAGCTTCACTTTGCCAGGTCCAGTACTTGAACCGTGGTCAACCATGTGGAAGTCCAGTGCCTTAACCACTATGCCACCTGTTGGCCCCCAAGCAAGTCTTGTTCAGTAAAAGAAAAGTAAAGACAAGACACTAAGGGCTGACCTTATTGCCTAGTAGATAAGGAGGCTGTATCTCATGTGACTGGTTCAAGTCCCACATCATGTGACTTGAAAACCACACTGGGCATGTGAGTGTGTGTGCCCTAAGACCTGACAGGGTGGAGACAAGGAGGAAAAGGGATTGTGGCATTATACTCCACTGGGGAAGGGGTGCTTTGTTTCCCCCTTTCTCTCTCTCTGTCTTTCTCTCTGCAAAGCCCATAGGCCTCTGATCATTTTTTAAAAAGAAAAGAAAAGACACTAAATTTCAGAGTGCTAGTTTCTGGGTAATGAGGTCATGCATGTATTTTTTTTTTCTCCTACTGAGTTTCTCAAATTTTTAATACCAAATGCAGTTTTGCTTTAATGAGAGGAGAAAAGAGGGATTTAAAAAATAAAACTTCTGTGTTCTTCTAGACAAACTCAGATTTCATTTATGATGGTAGAAGAATAGACTTTGACATCTTCTCACAAAGTTCAGACCCTGCTTCCTATTCTGAGACTGTGTGAGCCATAGAATACTCATCTGAAATGTGAGATACTGATGTAAGATGTAGGGGGATAAAGCCGAACCGTCCACAAGCTGCTGAGCGCATTGCTATGTGGTAGAGGGCTAATACATTTTTTATTGTTTGGTTTTGGTTCTGAGATTTTGCCACAGGGCACATACACTTCCCAGAGAGAGACAGAGCACCTGGAAATCACCCCCCAGGTGCCATAGTAACCCAGCCACAACGTGTAATCTGTCTCTAACAATCTCTTCTCCATTCTTCTCTTGGAATTTTGGGCACACATGCACAAGTGCCCGACATCATGTTCAAGCCACCAGGTATGGAACTCAGACCCTGGTCAACCATGTGGGAGTCTGGCACCTTCACCACCATACCACCTGCTGGCCTGAGGGGCTAACACATTTTAATCCCCTTCCCTTTCTCATTCTCCATGAACTCTAAAGGCTCATCAGGAGTTACTATTATTTTCTTGTGCGGCCCTTCCATTTGTGTGCCTAGTAACTCCTTGGCTGGACAGAGAAAACGAGAACAGGGATGTATTTAGTCACCTCTCTATCTTCAGCAACCCCCCCTTTCCATAATACATACTTAATGAGTATTCATTAAATTGAAGTAAATAATCAATCTCTGCAAAGTCCTAACCACTAAACCTGGCATCCAGGGCGCTTGATGGTCAGGCCCACCTGGCACTCAGATGCTTTAGTCAAATTCTGCCCTTGCCATGAGCCTCAGGACATTTTTGCTCTCACCTACCACCTGCCTCTTGTGCTCTTCCCATGCTGGAACGTTTCTGATAAGTAAAAAAGAAAGTCATGAACACACCCATGTAAAAGAACAGAATTATGAAATAAACAGACAAAAGTTTTTTTTTTTTTGAGAGAGATTTTTGCTCTAGGGCATGCACTCACTGGAGAGACAGAGAGAGAGAGAAAGTGGGAAATCACCCCCTAGAGGGAATGGACACACTACAGTCCCTTCTCTTCCATGCTCCTCTTGGAATCTGGGGCACACACGTACATGTACCTAGTATGAGCTTCACTTTGCCAGGTCCAGTACTTGAACCGTGGTCAACCATGTGGAAGTCCAGTGCCTTAACCACTATGCCACCTGTTGGCCCCCAAGCAAGTCTTGTTCAGTAAAAGAAAAGTAAAGACAAGACACTAAGGGCTGACCTTATTGCCTAGTAGATAAGGAGGCTGTATCTCATGTGACTGGTTCAAGTCCCACATCATGTGACTTGAAAACCACACTGGGCATGTGAGTGTGTGTGCCCTAAGACCTGACAGGGTGGAGACAAGGAGGAAAAGGGATTGTGGCATTATACTCCACTGGGGAAGGGGTGCTTTGTTTCCCCCTTTCTCTCTCTCTGTCTTTCTCTCTGCAAAGCCCATAGGCCTCTGATCATTTTTTAAAAAGAAAAGAAAAGACACTAAATTTCAGAGTGCTAGTTTCTGGGTAATGAGGTCATGCATGTATTTTTTTTTTCTCCTACTGAGTTTCTCAAATTTTTAATACCAAATGCAGTTTTGCTTTAATGAGAGGAGAAAAGAGGGATTTAAAAAATAAAACTTCTGTGTTCTTCTAGACAAACTCAGATTTCATTTATGATGGTAGAAGAATAGACTTTGACATCTTCTCACAAAGTTCAGACCCTGCTTCCTATTCTGAGACTGTGTGAGCCATAGAATACTCATCTGAAATGTGAGATACTGATGTAAGATGTAGGGGGATAAAGCCGAACCGTCCACAAGCTGCTGAGCGCATTGCTATGTGGTAGAGGGCTAATACATTTTTTATTGTTTGGTTTTGGTTCTGAGATTTTGCCACAGGGCACATACACTTCCCAGAGAGAGACAGAGCACCTGGAAATCACCCCCCAGGTGCCATAGTAACCCAGCCACAACGTGTAATCTGTCTCTAACAATCTCTTCTCCATTCTTCTCTTGGAATTTTGGGCACACATGCACAAGTGCCCGACATCATGTTCAAGCCACCAGGTATGGAACTCAGACCCTGGTCAACCATGTGGGAGTCTGGCACCTTCACCACCATACCACCTGCTGGCCTGAGGGGCTAACACATTTTAATCCCCTTCCCTTTCTCATTCTCCATGAACTCTAAAGGCTCATCAGGAGTTACTATTATTTTCTTGTGCGGCCCTTCCATTTGTGTGCCTAGTAACTCCTTGGCTGGACAGAGAAAACGAGAACAGGGATGTATTTAGTCACCTCTCTATCTTCAGCAACCCCCCCTTTCCATAATACATACTTAATGAGTATTCATTAAATTGAAGTAAATAATCAATCTCTATATTGAAATGAAGACCCCATCAAAATCATTCTGGGCAGCCAAGATTCAATGAAAAACAGACACGACCAGAACAAGGAAAACCAAATGAAAAAGAGTAGCCATTTTAAACTCACTTGAAAGTCATAACTATCAGAAAATACAGAATTATGACTCCCTTTCCCACCGTAACCTTTTCACATCACACATATGTAATAGAGGCCAT